GTAGTTAAGCCTTGATTGCTGTTGGTATCACTGGGAGGGATTGACCTCCAGGCCAATTGACTGTGAGGACCAGTTGTGTCTACAATGGGAGAACTTCTGTGCTGAAGACACCCTTATGGGGCAGGACTTGCTTCAGTGGGGCTTTGGCGCTCACTGAGTCTGCCCAGGTTTTTATGTGGAGAAAGTCCAGGCCATTTATATGCAAAAGTCTCTGCATACAGCTTCGGTGGGGTTGTAAATTGGGTGAGGCGGGGTCTCACGGAATCACCAGGGCGGAGCAAACTGCAATGGCTGCCAGTCTGCTCTGTCGCTGAGAGGTCCCGGGGTCTGTGTGGGTCTGTGTTCCGCAGCCTCGTGCAGGAACAATGACTGCCGCAAGCACCTCTGCGAGAAAGCCACCCTCGTGTTCTGGCCTGATGCCTGACAGTCCAGTTTCTCTCCGTATGAGTCTGGGTCCCCAAATTCTCACCCGGAACTGGAGTTCAGAGCTTGTATCTCCCTCCTGATTAAAAAAGACAACAGCGTACCCAGCTGCCAGCCCCTTTTGCACGCTCCTCTATACCTCCGCACTTCCACACCTCTGCACCTCCTACCAGACCCAGTGCGCTTTTCTCTTCCCTTCTAGTTGTAGAAATTCCACTCAGCCAGCCTGCCCGTGGTTCTGGATGATAGTCATTTTGTCTTTTAGTTGTAGTTTTAATGTGGTTGTGCGTGGCAGCAAATTCAGGTGTTTACCTATGCTGCCATCTTGATTATCTCGTTTTTTTTTTTTCTTTTTATTGAATTTATTGGGGTGACACTGATTAACAAAATTATGTAGATTTCAGGTGCTCAATTCCACAACATATAATCCTGTACACTGTATTGTGTGTTCACCACTCCAAGTCAAGTCTCTTTCCATCACCATTTATCCCCTCTATATACTCCTCTTCCTTCCTCACCCCACTTCCCCAGAACTCAGTTTTTAAAGCAAAGGTGTTCTGGTGTAGGGCAGGAGTGAAGAGAGGGGCCTTCTAATCCTTTGTGCATTCCCCATGGCCTCAGTGCTTTGCCCATAGCCTTGAACTCCATGATATATACTGGAAACACTCCTCCAGGTTGAAGTACTCCCTCATCTGAGCACCATGGTTATCAAGGCATACAACTTTACTTGTGCCCAGGGAGAGGGACACACACCCTCTCAGGTGTCCTCATAGCAACCCTGTTAAGTATAGGTAGGTCATTTTTCTCCCAAATTTACAAATGGTTATAATAAGGTTCAAAGAAAATAAGTGATTTGTCCAAGGCCCCACAGTTGTGGTCCTAGTTAGTTGTGGAGTCAGTGTTCAAGAAAGATGAGCGAGTAAATAAATAAATGTATGCCTGTTGGGGCACAGGGTTATACCCTCTTTAAGTTGACTCTGAGGTGGTGGCATGTCCCCACTTTCCTTTTTCTGCTTCTTCCCTTTCAATCCCAAATCAACTGGAAATATGTGAAATTGTGGGTCATTCAGCCCCTGGCACAATACCAGTCCACCACCTTCCTGTAAGCCTTTAACATCTGTCTCCTATCTTCCTGTAAAGGCCTCGTTGGTTCTGCTGGTGCTTTGAGTTTGGGCAGAGGGGTGGGGTGAAAGCCCACATACTTTCCTTTTCACTCTCCAGATCTAGCTCTGTCAGCACTGATTGGCAGGGTCTAGCCTCCCTTGGCCTCACCTGGGCAAAGGGGCTACTTTTACATCTTGCCCTAGGGGCCCCATGTGGCTGTCCATTGTATGCTGTGGGGCATGCTTCAGGTGTGGTCTTGATTATTGGAGGCCAACTGAAGTTTGGCCCTCTTCAGTGGCACCTGTATACAGCATCGGGAGGGCACACATTCTCGACCACCGAAAGCAGTCTGATCTACCATGTCAGTCTCACAGTCCCACATGTTCCTTCCTGAAAGATCCAGATGATGGCATAGCTTTTTTCCTCTACAACCTGCAGAATTGGAAGGAATGCCTCTATAACAGCTATCTTCCTCACATCCGTCCCCACTTTGGTCTTCACTCCAAAATTATTGTCCTTATTTTGCACATGAGTCCACTGAGACTCAGCAAATAAGTGGATTGCTCAAGCACAGGCCTGGAAGGCAAGATTCAGTGAACTATGTTCCTACCCCTTTGAGTCCAGCCTTCTTAGGCCCTAGGACTGACACTGGGATTCTGGGTGAACAAGCTGTAAAAACCTTGCCCTCTGGGTCTAACTGCCTCCACCCCCAGGACATACACCTGTCTGATTGCACTTCATTACTCCTGCAGAGTGGGAAAGCAGGCCAGGATTTCGAGGTCCTGCTTCTAGCCAATCAGTGGCAGAGCTGGGCCCCAGGCTAGTGTGTCAAGTGTCATGTTTTGCCTAGTAGCTGCCAGGCCCCTGCTGAAACTGCCTCTTGTATTGGCAGGAAAAGGAGAAAGCCCAGTTGGCAGCAGAATCTCTAAAGCAGGTGAATCGTGGTGTTTCTGGAAGCCAGGAGCTGAGGCCTGCCAGGGAGAGGTTTTTGGAGTGGCCTGACCAGGAGCTGGATCGGGTCAACAGCTTCCTGAGCAGCCGTCTGCAGGAGATCAAGAACACTGTCAAGGACTCCATCCGTGCCAGCTTCAGTGTGTGTGAGCTCAGTATGGACAGCAATGGCTTCTCTAAGGAAAGGGCTGCTGAGCCTGAGACCCAGAGTCTACCCGCCTTGAACCTCAATGGCTCCTCAGGGCACCGGCCTGACATCAACCTTGACCTGTCCCCTTTGACTTTGGGCTCCCCTCAGAACCACACGTTACAAGCTCCAAGCGAGTCAGCCCCACCATGGGCAGAAATGAGAGGCCCCCAACCACTGTGGACAGAAGTGAGGGGCCCTCCTCCTGGTATCATCCCAGAGAATGGGCTAGTGAGGAGACTCAACACCGTGCCCAACCTGTCCCGGGTGATCTGGGTCAAAACACCCAAGCCAGGCAACACCAGCTCTGAGGAGCCAAACCCAAAGGAAGTCCCTAGTGACAAGCAGGAGCTACCTGAGCCTGTGGCCTCAGGTGGGAAGCCGCGGAAAGGCAAGAGGCAGGGGGGTGGTCAGGCTAAGAAGAGTGAGGCGACTCCAGCCCCCAGGTCCTCAGCCAGCCTGGAGGCTCCCGGTGCTAAGGGCCAGACCTCCAGCCCCAAGCAGCCAGGCAAGACCCTGGAACCTCCCAAAGTGGGCTGCTGTGCTGAGGCTGGAGAGGGGAGCCCGGGAAACCGGCCAGAACCAGGCTGGGCTAGCAGCCCAAAAGTCGACAAGGAGAAGGGCAGCTCTTGGCGAAACTGGCCAGGTGAGGCCAAGGCACGGCCTCTGCAACAGGAGTTTGTGCAGCCCTCAGGCCCAGCAAGGCCACAGAGCTTGCCGCAGGGCAAGGGCCGCAGCCGCCGGAGCCGCAACAAGCAGGAAAAGTCAGCCTCCTCCTTGGGTGAGTGCACCAGGAACAGTGGCTGGCCCCCACCCTGCCGGCCCACGGGGTGGAGGGCAGTCCTCGTGTGTGGGCAGCACTGACCCAGAGGCCTGGATGTGGGCACTGAGCCCTCCTGGCTGTGTCTTCCTAGACGATGTGTTCCTGCCCAAGGACATGGATGGGGTGGAGATGGATGAGACTGACCGGGAGGTGGAATACTTCAAGAGGTAGGTGTGGGGCTGCCTGCTCTCCTGCCTGCACCCAGGCCTTTCAGAAAGGGCCTCCCTCAGCCCTGAGCCCCGGGATGGAGAGCCTCTCCAGCCCTCCTGGCTTTCCCCACACTAAAGAAGCCACCTGGCAGGATGGGGCATCTGGCAAGGTGCAGGGGACTGAATGAAGGAGGTGTGCGTGTCAGACCCCAAGAACCAGGCCTTTTCCGGCTTCGTTCACTTTGTTTATTCACTTGTACTTCCTTTACTCTGCCTGGACTGAGCTATGGGGCAGAGATGAATCAAACAGTCTAGATGGGGCGAGAGCATAAACCTACAGTCTGGCAATAAGTGCGGCTTAGAAGTAAGTGGTGGGGGCAGCCAGAGCAGCCCTCCCGATGAGGTGATAACCAAGCTTAAACTTGAGGAATAGGAATGAGTGGGCCAAGGAAAACAAGGATATTTGTGACAGTGGAGTCAGCCCATACAGAGATTTGAGGGTGAAAGAAACATGTCCTTAGGGGAATGGAAGGGAACCTAGCATAGCTAGAGTAAACTACAGGGTGAGGGGGACGTCATATCCTAAGGCAGTGTAAACTCTCTTCATATCTTGTCCCCTGGGCTTGTGGGTGTTCCATCTTGATAGCCCCCCAGCCAGCACAACTCCCATACCTACTAGACCCCAATGCCTAGGAGCTGGAGAGGTTGTGCAAAGCTGACCTCGCTGCTTTAGTGACCAGAACACACGGGTCTAGGAGAGGGGTTCAGTAGGCAGGGGAATCTTTGATTGTGCTTCTTCTGTGTCATCTCCCAAACCTGACAGATTCTGTTTGGATTCTGCAAAGCAAACACGTCAGAAAGTTGCTGTGAACTGGACCAACTTCAGCCTCAAGAAAACCACTCCCAGCACAGCTCAGTGAGGTATACAAACCCCCAAGTGTCGCGTGCACCCTCTCCCGATGCTCTGCCAGCTTCTGTCCCCATCAGACCATTTCATGCTCTGAGGCACGGACTTGGACTGGGGGCGTGGTATCCTGGCCCCTGCACCTCCACAGTGACAGCCCAGTGGGCTATGCTCTCCAGAGGCACAAACCCTGTCTATTCTGCAGCCATTTACCCCCAGGACTCTGTCCTTCCATTGCTCCTCCCTGGGCCAGGCCCTCCTGTGAGATCTCTTTCCCAAGACAAAAGTTGCTCCGTCCCCCCATCTCCTTTGACCTTTATCCTCCTCAAAGCAGGAGTCTGAGCGCAGAGGCGGCGTCTCCCCTGCCTGTACCCACCAGAGAACATGCCAGAACACTTGTTCCACATTGGCCTGGGGGAAGGGAGTGCTGCCTGCCATGGGGGCCATGAGCTCCTTAGGGATGGCCCCACCTTCCTTGAGAACTAGGATGACATTTCACATGTTGATAAACAGAACTGGGGCTCTGTTTCCTGGCAGGGTTTTCATTTCCATCCTCTGCTAGAGGTGATTGAGGAAGTCTGTGGGAGCAAAAGTAGGAGCTAGGTGTTCCCTCCCTCCACCTTGGACCCATGGAGACCCATGTGGCATGGGAAGGCCATTACTCACCATGTGGCCATGCTCTTCTGTTTTCTCAGCCCCTGTGGGTCCAGCTTCTTCAGGTGTCCTGAGACGCCCAACTGCCAGCTGAAGGTCTACAGTTTCTTCTTCCTCCACATCCCCACCCACCTGCCCAAGACCCTCCTTGCTTCCCGCCATCCTGGACCAACCCAAAGCTGAGCGGATGCCCTGCCGGGCTGGGGCCCCTCAGGACCTCCACAGAGCCGCCTCCTGGTGCTATGCAGCCTCCTCACTCAGAGCCCGGGGGCTGGGCTGGGCTGGCCTGTGGGCCAGGGGCTGATGGTACTGCTGGCCCAACACTGCTCTTTTTGTGTTTGGTTTTTCTGTTTTTGTTTGTTTGTTGTTGTTTTTTAATTCTTTACTTTTGATACTGTGAAGATCTTTCCTGCCGAAAGATAAAGCAACTTTTGGACACAGAGTCGGTGTGTTGGTCTTTTGCTAGACTGGGTCAGGGGTGAGGTGAAGGATGTAATCAGAAGCATGGGGTGGCCTTAGTCATTAACCATGTTAGGTATGTACTGTGTTATCAATGGCTTGGCATTGTTTCCACTTAATTCTTGCATCTGTTCCAAGTGGACTGTTAAGTGGGAATTTTATAGATGAAACTAAAGCTAAGACAAGAAAGTGACTAATGAACTCAGTCTGGCTGACTAGGGTTAAAGCATAGGTCTCTGTGCCCTTTCCTCCTGTTGTGAGGCCTTGTATGGGAGTAGCCCCTTCCCCACACTGTCTGTTTCTCCCCTGTAGGATGGGTGAATGGGAGGAATGGGACTTGGTCTTTGGATAGCTGATGTGAAAAGGGGCTTGGGGAAAGCTTAAGGCCTTTATGGAGGGTGCACCTGTAGCCTGGGTGTTTGAGGTTGTCAGGGAAAGTTGCGGGGGTGGGGGAGTAGATGGAGTTTTTATAAATTGGATCTGACTTTCCAATGAGAATAAGACATGTAGCTTAAGTACTTCACAGTTAAGAGGATAATAAACCCTTCTGTAAAGTAAAGCAAACTATCTCCCATATTAGATCTAGTTTATAAATTCAAATTTTAATATAATAGGTTTGCTAAAAATGCCTCACACACCTGTTGTTACCCCCAATGTTGTTTTCTTGACTAAAATCAACTCTTAACTTTAGCTCATGTGGGGAGTGATGGAGGCAGTAGCAACACAATCACTAAGTATCTTTAAAAAAAATTTTTTTTTTATTGATTTCAGAGAGAAAGGAGAGGGAGAGAGAGAAACATCAATGATGAGAGAGCATCATCAATCTGCTGCCTCCTGCATGCCCCCTACTGGCGATCGAGCCCGCAACCCAGGCATGTGCCCTTGACAAGACTCGAACCCGGCACCCTTCAGTCCGCAGGCTGATGATGCTCTATCCATTGAGCCAAATCAGCTAGGGCGACTAAGTACCTTTATGTAGTATTGGGAGCAGGATCAGAAACTGCTCCCTCTCCCCACCCCACTCCACCCCTCCACCTAGTTGAGCCCCACCATTGGCTAGCAGTCAGTGCCAGCTTCCTCTTCTAAAGAAGTGAAACAGCATTGCCCACAGGCTCACAATTCCAGTCCCCAGGGAAGTATGGACACTCCTGTAAAACCTTTCTCTGTGTATGTATTACCTGTGTTCCTCTTATTCTCTAACTGTTGCACCAGCCTCCTGCCGTCAAGTTGAATTGGCACAGCTATCTAAAATTCTGCCTCACTTGGCAGGTGTGGCTCTGTGGATTGAGCATTGTCCCATGCACCAAAAGTTCAATTCCGGTCAGGGCACATGCCCAGGTTGCAGGCTGGATCCCCAGTATGGGATGTGCAGGCAGCAGCCAATCAATGATTTTCTCATCATTGATGTTTCTCTGTCTCTCCCCCTCTCTCTTCCTCTCTGAAATCAATAAAAATTTATTTAAAACAAAAAAACAACAAAGTGCAGAGCTGAGAGTACTTTTGGTGACTTAAGGTCAGCATAGGAGTTTGAATTACCTATGAGTGACCTTTTTAAATAATAAAATTCTGCCTTATTTGAAAATTGCAGGTCTGATTGAAGCAGCACTTTTCCTACAGATAAAAGACTTCTGTAAGTGCATTTTGGACCCCCTGTGCCTGGCTTCTGCCTCCAGCACACACCCAGCCATCCCTACAACCTCAGTCTCCAGCTAGGCCTGACACCCTTAGATCTCCTGACTTTTGCTCACATACTTGCCTCTTCACAGATTACCCTTCCGTCATAAATTCCTACTTATTCTTCACCTCCCAGTTGAGAAGACACTTTTACTATATGAGAATCAGTTTGCTCTGCCTTTGTGATGATTCCACCATGTCTTGATACTTCTCCTTAACCTCAAGACTGGTTATATTTTCTGTTTCCTCAACTAATCCATAATCTCACAAGCCAGGTTTGCATCTTGCTCATCTTTTATCTGCTTCAGCACTGCACAATGCCCAACACACAAGGACAGCACTGACCCATCACTCCTCTCAGTCCCGGATGCCGAAATTATTGACAGTCACTGCTCTGCATGCTCTGAGCCCAATTTACCTCCCCAACCCTTGCTCTGGCTCCTCGTGCTCCATGTGGGCCCATTGATCTCTCTATTCCCTAGGAATCTGCAGATCACTCCTACTGGGCCCTCTTTCTTCCTCTCCTCCACTCCCCGCTCTGAGATTCCACACTTTCCTGGAAGCTCAGATCCAATCAGTGTCACCTCAAAGTCGCCTCAGGTTCCCTCTGAACTCTATTACAGCATTTACAACAATAACTTACACATGTAACAGACCCTCAGTTGAAAACCACCGTCATCAGTATTTTATTTACCACTCACTACTCGGAACATAGGTGTCTAAGAAGAGGACACCAGTCAGAGCGGCAGTGCTTGAGTCACTCGGCAAGTCACACCCTGCCCGCTCGGCCCTGCCAGGGATGGAAGCCCGGCCCCTGGGCTCCCCAATCACTAGAGGGCGCAGTGACCGCCGGCGTGCGTGCGCCATGACGTCATGCTCTGAGCGACTGTCTTCACTCGGGGCACCGCCCCTGCTACCGGATTCGGTGTGAGCCTTTTAGCTCATGCTTCAAATCGTCCAGTATCCCACAATGCTTTGCCTGATGCTTTCGCCCTCAGCCCTGCCAGCTGCATTGCCACAGGGAGAACGTAGACACCGCCCCACAAGACGGCGGCTCAGGAGAAAGTTTGTCCCTCGGCGCGACCCGTCACTCAGAGGTCGTTGCTAGGCGCCGACGTCAGCTTCTTCACATCTGGTTGGATCTCAGAGGTAAGGCGGGGTTTTCTGCTGTGGGGCGCATGCGTGCAGAAAAGGATGGAGGATTCGGAACCGGAACGGAAGGTGGGAGAGAGGCTGGGGTCCCCTGGGTGGCGAGCCGCCGTGAAGATGGGGAGGAAGGGGTTCCGGGCTTGATTCCTGGGTCTCTGCAGCGGGCTCGTACCGACGAGGCGACTGCCGCAGGAAGCCGTTCCGAGGCGGAGGATGAGGACGACGAGGACTATGTGCCCTACGTGCCATTGCGACAGCGCCGACAGCTGCTGGTGAGGGCCGGGGTCTAAGGAGGAGTGAGAGTAGGGGTGGGTGTTTCTCAGTGGTCTGTGGAGTGAGGGGATCTACACGGGAGCGTGGCCTCAGGCACAACCGGAGGGACTGGCGACCTAATCTGAGGGGTAGAGCAGCTCTGCACCTCGGGGCACGATCTTCTCCCAAAGCCAGGATCCTGCCGCAGCTCCTGGGCGCGATGCCCAGCTCTGTGTCGGGCTTGGCTCTGAGGGGCGCTGCTGGACCCTCAGCTCCAGAAGCTGCTACAGCGAAGACGCAAGGGAGCCGCGGAGGAGGAGCAGCAGGACAGTGGCAGTGACCACCGGGGAGATGAGGACGACATCCCTCTGGGCCCTCAGTCCAATGTCAGCCTCCTGGATCAGCACCAGCACCTCAAAGAGAAGGCTGAAGGTGGGCTCAGCAGCGGCGGGAGGCTCAGCGTTGTGCGCTGCTTTGGTGTCTCTGACATTTGTCTGCTCTTCTCCTCAGCCCGCAAGGAGTCTGCCAAGGAAAAGCAGCTGAAGGAAGAGGAGAAGATCCTGGAGAGTGTGGCCGAGGGCCGAGGTATGGTTGTGGCCTGGGCAGGAAGGAAGTGGCCTGGCTTCTGGGAAGGAGAAGCCAGCCCTGAGCCACGTCTCTCTTCTCAGCCTTGATGTCAGTGAAGGAGATGGCCAAGGGAATCACATATGATGATCCAATCAAAACCAGGTATGCTTATAGTCTCTAGAAGAGCAGTTACCCTTGCCTGGCATAGTTTGTGGCTGAGACTGGCAGGCACATGCCAAAGGCAGCTATGCCCAGGGCCTCTCTTGACCCCTACCACCACTCACAGTTGGACACCTCCCCGTTATATCCTGAGTATGTCTGAAGAGCGGCATGAGCGTGTACGGAAAAAATACCACATCCTGGTGGAAGGAGATGGTATCCCACCACCCATCAAGAGCTTCAAGGAAATGAAATTTCCTGCAGGTACCTGGGGAGTGGGAGTGGCATCACACTTGGTAGTTAAATGTCTGTAAGGTTGTGTTCTAGTTCCCACTGAGCTCAGCAGCATAGCCAGCGGGGACTGGGGGGATTTGAGGAGGGGTTTCTTTAGGCTCTTTTTTCAGTTGTGCCAGCTGAAGATATTCACTATTCTGTGCCACTAGGAAGCTTAATTGGACAAGTGAGGCTGGCCTTAGGCAGATGTGGGGGTGAATTCTGTCTCCATTTAGCCTAGGAGCTTTGAACAGGTCTCTCTGTCTTTTCTTTCCCTCTCCCTGTTTCTGTGTTTCATCATTTGTAACTTGAGGGGAATGGTGGCAGTTTTACGGCTTTGGGGCCTGATTAAGCACCTGTGAGATGTAAGAGTGATGTCAGGGTTGTTTTCCACAGCCATCCTGAGAGGCCTGAAGAAGAAGGGCATCCACCACCCAACGCCTATTCAGATCCAGGGTATCCCCACCATGTGAGTGTGGACCTGGGGCCCTGAGGAGGGCAGTGATGGGCAGTTCCTGTATTCTGCTGAACTTGACCCTCAGACCTGTCCTCTGCCAACAGTCTATCCGGCCGTGACATGATAGGCATCGCCTTCACGGGTTCAGGCAAGACGCTGGTGTTCACTTTGCCTGTCATCATGTTCTGCCTGGAACAAGAAAAGAGATTACCTTTCTCCAAGCGTGAAGGGCCCTATGGACTCATTATCTGTCCCTCGGTAAAATAGGCTGGCCTGGAGGGCAGGGCACCAGTGAGACTGTCTTCTGGTACCAGCCCCCACCCCTGTATCTGCAGCGAGAGCTGGCCCGGCAGACCCACGGCATCCTGGAGTATTATTGCCGCTTGCTGCAGGAGGACAGCTCACCACTCCTGCGCTGCGCACTTTGCATCGGGGGCATGTCTGTCAAAGAGCAGATGGAGACTATCCGACAGTGAGCATAAGCACCCCTCACCCTAGGGCCTCCCCAAAGTGTCTAGATAAACTTTAGCTATTCTGCAGATCCTTGCAGAGGCCTAATTAAAAGAGCTCCCAGTCTCATGCAAGGGGTCAGCTGGGGTGGGACAGGGGGATGTGGTGAGGGACTATGGGAACATAGTAACTGAAACAGAGGCATCTGGAAAGTCAGAGGATTGGGGCATTCCAGGCAAAAGACAAAGGTGGTAGGCCTGGGGTGTTCAGAAAGGTTAGGGCCATTCAGTATGTAGTCCGGCAAGGAGGCTAAGGCACTGGGGCAGGGCTGGACCCTTGCTCTTCCACACAGTGCAGTCAGTCCCCAGTAGATATCACCAGTTGTCTGGGGTCACAAGACAGGTCACACCCAGTGCCTGCTTGATAGGCATCCCAGTCTCAGGAAAGATACAGAACAGTTGAATTCAGTATGCCAGTAAAGTGAGCCCTTCCAGGCCTATGGAGGGAGCTGCGAAGTGCAGGTTGAGGCTATTTGGAGATTCAGACAGCCCCCCAGGAGAACGAATGGCAGAGGTCAAAACATGGGTGGGAAGAGCTCCGGAATACAGACAGCAGTGGTTGAGAAGGCTGCAGCTTGCTCCAGTAGAAACATATGCTGAACCCAGGGCAAAGCGGTGGGAGTGATGAGGAGGGGACAGGTGAGGAGAGACAGGAGGGAGGCCAGAGCGGGGTGAGTCACAGTGCCAGCCTCTACGAAGGGCTGAGCAGGTGGCCTGACCTCAGGTCTCTCTTGGTCCCCAGTGGTGTGCACATGATGGTGGCCACCCCTGGGCGCCTCATGGATCTGCTACAAAAGAAGATGGTCAGCCTAGACATCTGTCGCTATCTGGCCCTAGACGAAGCTGACCGCATGATTGACATGGGTTTTGAGGGTGACATCCGCACCATCTTCTCCTACTTCAAGGTACCCGTCCCTGCCTGGCCAGGGTACTCCTGCACCCTCAGGGCTGCCCACCCACTGTCCCAGCTGCTTAGCTTCCCCAGCCCCCCTGTGCCCTCAGCCCCAGCTCTTTCTCAGGGCCAGCGACAGACCCTACTCTTCAGTGCCACCATGCCTAAGAAAATACAGAACTTTGCCAAGAGTGCCCTGGTGAAGCCTGTCACGATCAATGTGGGACGCGCTGGGGCCGCCAGCCTAGATGTCATACAGGTGGGCAGTCTCACCACGGAGGGCTGGGTCTAGCGAGACTCCCTTGAAGCTGATTGGAGCAGGGTGGGTGGTCCACCTAGGGGGCACTAGGGGTTCCATTCAAAGCCTCAACCCTTAGCAAGAAACATTCTTAGGGTGTCCAGCCCTTGGTGCACGAGGTTTCTAATCACCTAGATGGGATTGGGGGGCCCAGCCTCTGCAGCAGCACTGTGGCTGGTGAGCCTGTCCTCAGGATCACCTGACCTAGCTCCTGTGGTGGCAGGAGGTGGAATATGTGAAGGAGGAAGCCAAGATGGTGTATCTGCTCGAGTGCCTGCAGAAGACACCCCCGCCCGTGAGTGCAGCCCAGGACCCCCAAGATGAGGGGAGAGGGCAATAGGGGCAGGATGCTGGGGAAGGTTGGGGCTGTTGGGTGGAGGCACTCCCTGTGACGAGGCCTTTCTGGACAGGTGCTCATCTTTGCAGAGAAGAAAGCAGATGTGGATGCCATCCATGAGTACCTGCTGCTTAAGGGGGTCGAGGCCGTGGCCATCCATGGGGGCAAAGGTCAGGATGGCATATGTGTATGCCTGAACCTGGCTGCTATAGCAGCCCTCACCTAACCCGTTTCCTGCCTGGCTGGTTTACCACTACTCCCCAGGCTCCTGCTGTCACCCTGACAGCTCCCGCCTGACCCTCCCCAGACCAGGAGGAACGGACCAAGGCCATCGAGGCATTCCGGGAGGGCAAGAAGGATGTTCTAGTGGCCACAGACGTAGCCTCCAAGGGCCTGGACTTCCCTGCCATCCAGCACGTCATCAATTACGACATGCCTGAGGAGATTGAGAACTACGGTGGGAGCTTGTGGGATTGGGGTGTGGGCTAGGCCCCAGACCTGGGCAGTGGGCCAAAGATTGTTTCCTCTCTGCAGTGCACAGAATAGGCCGCACTGGGCGCTCAGGAAACACAGGCATCGCCACCACCTTCATCAACAAGGCCTGCGGTGAGTGTACTGCCACGGCCGCCACAGCTGTCTCCTGCGTCCTACAGGTCCTGGTTACGGGGCCCAGGGTTGGACCTAATGATTCCCCACTGCCCCCACAGATGAGTCAGTGCTGATGGACCTCAAAGCCCTGCTACTGGAGGCCAAGCAGAAGGTGCCACCTGTGTTGCAAGTGCTGCACTGTGGGGACGAGTCCATGCTGGTCATCGGAGGTGACTGCGAAGTGGGGGGCATGACAGGAACACCAGGAAACAAGTCTACACTGCACATGAGTGGATGGGGGGTTGGGTGGGGGCACAAGGTCTGGGGCACAGAACCTGGCCCTGTCACCATGCTGATCTCCATTTCCCTATGCCCCCAGATGAACGAGGCTGTGCCTTCTGCGGGGGCCTGGGCCATCGGATCACTGACTGCCCCAAACTCGAGGCCATGCAGACCAAACAGGTCAGCAACATCGGCCGCAAGGACTACCTGGCTCACAGCTCCATGGACTTCTAGCCGTCTGTCATCCCTCTCCAAGAGGCCTCGGTCTGGGTTCCAGTTGCCCCCTACACGCCAGACCCTGGACAAGAAGCCAGCATCTTCGGCCCAGCTGGCTTGGGCTAGGCTGGGCCTGGCTGCCTGCCCTCTGTGCCTCTGGAATGACTATGATTGTTCCCCTTTATCCCAGTTGCCATTAAAGCACAAGCCTCTCTAGTCTCAGCCCCAGCCCTGCTTCTGTGCTTCACCTTGTCTGCCCGTTACTTCCTGGCCACCTCACCCTCTGACCTCTAGAGCCCTCTGAGGCAGACCCTGGGTCTCTCCCCAACACCCAGATGGCTCGGTTGTGGCAGGAGGCATCTATCTTTATTTATGACTCGGAAGCACCACACTGGCAGACAAGGCAAAATCCTTGACTGGGTTTTTGTGTGTCTGATTGGCTGTCATAACCTCCAGCCCTGCCCCAGCCGCCTCCTTGTCGGTTGTGCAAAGCTCCTAGGGCCCCTTGAGAGGCAACTTCCTGCCTCAGGCCCCCTGTTCCTGGTATGGAACCCTCCGCTCTGTTTGCTGAGAAGCAGCCGGTACCACAGGACTGCCACTCAGGCTACAAGCAGTTTTTGATATGCTCTGTGCCAAACCCTCCGCTGGGCCGCTCACAGGTGACTAGGAAAGAGATGTAATGAACATGGGCAGCAGTCACGAGTACTTTGACAAATGGACCAGGATTTCAACATCTGGCAAGGGGTAGGCAGAGGACCAGCACGGTCAGACACTTCATGTGCAAGGCCACATGCTTATCCCAGCAGGACAGCAGTTGCTCAAGCCATGTTTGTCACTTGGTGTGTGGCCTTTGCAAGTTACTTAATGTTTGAGCCTTGATTTCCTCATTGTTGAAATGGCAGTGAGAATGCAAAGGGTTGTGTTTGTAAGGTTGGGCTCTGGCCTGTGTGGTCCATGTTTGGCACAAAGCCGGGTGCAGGAGGACTTGGAAAAAATGTCCTGCCTGAGAAGCAACACACTCCATATGTGACCCCCAAATTATATTCCTCAGCCTGTTTACACGTTCCTTTCCAGAGATGGCTTTGAATGAATGACATGAAGCTGTTTTCAGAATTCAGACCCACATTCAGAGCCAAGTTACCGGCCTCCAGCAAGGCAAGGCAAAGAAGAAAAAAAAAAAAAAGGCCCCTAGCAGGAAGCAAAACTTAAAAAGAACATATGAGCTCCCTAGGGGCTCACTGGGGACATGCCACCTACATTCAGGTGGCCAGAGCCACACATGAGGACTTGGGCACACTGCTGGGGCCTTTGTGCGCTCAGACAGCATGGAGGGGTGAGGGAAGTCCTCCCAGAGTAAGCAGCTGGCACCCAGAGGAACACGGTGAGGGGTGCCCTGGAGGGGTTGGGCTGGGGTCAGGACTCAACACCTTGCGTGCTGGGCTGAGGAGCCCAGGCTAGACCTGAGGGCAGTGGGAAGCCAGAAAAAGTTTAGAAAGGAGAGAGATGAGTGCGCCCAGGTGGGGTGGTGATTCAGAGGGAGATATTCAGGCTGGCATTGGGGGCTGTGAAGGTGGAGCAAATGAATATTAAAAATATTTTGATGGAAGGATAAGCCAACCAACCAGGGTTGCAAGTAGGAAAGGAAGTTCGCCAGTCTGGCTGTGGGAATGCAGGTCCCAGGTTGCACAACTGCCCCCTGAGGGATCAGGGAAAGCGTCAGAGCCCATGACTAGGGGGCCAGCCTGTGGGCCTGACGCTCACTCACACCCAGTGACCCAGGTGCAGGCATGGGTTTTTGCCCTCAGGCGGTCTGAGGCCTCTGCCAGGCATGCCTGAGCACCTTGGCCAGCTGCAACCCTACGGTGGAAATATGTGATGCCCCCACCCCCTATTCTGGCTCCTTTACTGAAGAAGGGGTTCCCCTCCCCCAGTCATGCAGCTGCCTCTCTGGACAGAGGGAGGGGAAGTGGCCAGAAGGGGAAGTGTGAGGAGTTCCCCTCGGCCTGTCACCAGTCTCCTCAGGCCTTCGGAGTGGTGGCCCTCCGGCCCTCCGGCCCTCCGTGGCCATGGAGCCTCTGGAGACCCCCGTCAAGGATGGCATCCTGTACCAGCAGCACGTCAAGTTTGGCAAGGTGGGGACCTGGCTGCCCAGGATAATTGGGCCTCCACACCTGGACCTGGGAGAATGGTGATGGGAATCAGGGTGGGAGATCTAACCCAGCTGTGGGGATGGGAGAGAGGCCCATCCTCTGCCTGAGCAGAAGAGCTGGGCCTGCGTGGGCCTTGGGGAGACCCTGCCTCACTTACAGATGGGGAAGCCAAGAGTCAGGAGGGTCTAAAAACACAAACCTTGGGGCAGGGCAGAGCCGGGAGGCTTGCTAATCCAACAGCCTTCCACCCTTCGGAGGGCCAGGGGATGAGCTGAAGGAGACCCCAGAGGTGGAACCCCACCCTGCAGAAGAGGGCTCGGCTCCTCCCAGCCTGTCATGGGACATAGTAGGGGGTTCACTTCTCCTCAGGCAGCAGGCTCTGCACCCCCACAGCTCAGCTGCAGCTGCTGCCGAGGCAGATAAACGGTCTATTTCCTTTGCTTGACACTATTTGCATGTTTCCTTCCTTGCCATCATGAGAATGAGGCCTCCCTCCCGCCACAGTCCTTATCCTGCGGCCCAAGTGACCTTTGGGGGGATGGGGCTGGGCACCAACAGAACAGCAGTGTCCAGTGGTCTGTTTCAGCCACTGGAGACTCTACAGACATAATCCAGTAGAAGCCCCAGCCTCACATTGCCATGACCTTTTGAGAGACTAGGACACTAGTCTTAAGGAGGTACCAGTTAGGAAAGTGTGGGGTGGATTTAACCCAGGGCTGACTGACCCCGAGCACAGACTCCCCTCCCTGCTGGGCTGGCTGTGGCAAGGCCTCCTCTGAGGCCCTGAGGAGCTGGGGGAGGCGAAGGCCAGCCTGGGTGACCAGGAGTGTATGCTGAGTGAGCTGCAGTGATCTTCACCCCCATCCTCATCTCCCACAGAAGTCCTGGCGGAAGGTGTGGGGTCTGCTCTATGCAGGTGGCCCATCAGGCGTGGCACGGCTGGAGAGCTGGGAAGTCCGGGATGGTGGCACGGGGCCAGCAGGTGACAGGTCTGCAGGTCCTAGCCGACGGGGAGAGCGGCGGGTCATCCGCCTGGCCGACTGCGTGTCGGTGCTGCCAGCTGATGGTGAGAGCTGCCCCCGGGACACTGGTGCCTTCCTGCTCACCACCACCGAGAGAAGCCACCTGCTGGCCGCACAGCACCGCCAGGCATGGATGGGCCCCATCTGCCAGCTGGCCTTCCCGGTGAGCACAGGGCAAGCGGGCCGGGCACCGAGGTCTGGCCCCAGGGGGACCAGCTCACCTCCCTCTCATTCATTCCATATTCACTCACATCCTGTCACTCAGCAAGCACCTGCCAAGTACCTATGAGCCTGGGAAACAGCCCAGAAACCACAGAAAAATCTGATGGCCATACATGCTATGGAGAAAATGAAAGGCAGGGTGGGACCAGGGGGCCTTAGGCAGGATGGTCTAAGGAGGCCTCTCAGGAGGGGACAGTAGGTCTGAGTCCCGAAGGACAACCCACCAGGCAAACATCTGAGGAGAGTGTCCCAGGCACTGAGGTCCAAGGAGTGTCCTGGACAGAGGGAGCGCAGTTCGGTGGAGGCCTTGAGGCAGAGAAAAGTTTGGTTTGGCTGGAGGGCAAGGAGTGGGAGGGCCCAGGAGGAGGCGAGGTAAGAGTCCGGTGGAAGCCAGCTGAAACCACCTTGGGCCACATGTGGATTTGAGGTTTTATTAAGAGTGAGAGGAGAAGCCTTTGGTGGGGGTGAGCTAGGGACTGAGTTTTAAAGCTTCACAGGGTCTGTAATGGGCCAAAAGGAAATGAGTCCGGTGGGTTCCTTAATAAGTGAAACAGAAGAGTTACCATATGACCCAGCAAGTCTCTTGAGAATTGAAACATGTTCAAACAAAACATACAATGTTCAGAGCAGCACGATTCCCAAAAGCCCAAACAATCCAAATGTCTGTCAGCTGATGATGGATAAACCAAATGTGTCTGTCCATACAATGAAACATTACTCAGCCATAAAAAGGAGTGCAGTAGTGAGACGGGCTTCACAGTGGATGAACCTCGAAGACATTAAACTGAGTGAAAGAAGCCGGGCACAAAAGGCCACCTGTTGTATGATTAGGCAAATCCATAGCAACCAAAAGCAGCTTAGAGTTTGCCAGGGGCTGGGCAGGGTTTTAATGTGGAGTGATGAGAAGTTCTGGAACTAGATAAAGATGATGATTGCACAACCTTGATTGCAAACCTGATGACTTTACTAAAAACACTGCATTATACACTTTAAAACGATTAAAATGGTAAATTTTATATTGTGTATTTAAGTTTTTTTATTTAAAAACAATAAAAAAGAAAAAGAAATGAATAGGAGCAAGGTGACCAGCAAGGAACCCACAGCATTTGGCCCTGGCCACACTACCATGGCCAGGTGGTCATGGTTGAGGTGCTGAGGTCAGTGTGAATTACATGCAGGAACTAGGGGTAGGGAGGGGTGAGATGGAGCCAGAGGACTGGGGGAGGAGTGAATGGCCAGTTCACTTGTTTGCACCCCAAAAGCCCCTTCACCACTCTAAGCTGTGGGGGACACACATGGGCTGGCCTGGTCCCTAACCTAATGCAAGGGTGAGGGGCCATCCTGCTGTGTGTTGCTGACTTACCGCTCTCAGTATCCCAGGGGGAAGAATAAGGTTACAGGAGGGAAATCGGCTCAGAGGGGTGCCCAGGGCTGTGCAGTGTGTCAGGTGACATCTCTCCACATGAAAAGGATACAGGAAGTTTAAAATATGCTTTTAATGATCTCAGAGAGAGGAAGGGAGAGGGGGAGAGAGAGAAACATCAGTGATGAGAAAAACATTGATCTGCTGCCTCCTGCATAACCCACACTGGGGATCGAGCTGGCAAGTGGGGCATGTCCCCTGACCTGGAATGGAACCGTGACCTCCTGGTTCGTAGGTCAATGCTCAAGCACTGAGCCATGCCAGCCAAAATAATGTCTTTATTAA